ATCCATTGGTGATAGATTAGGGAGGCGGGAAAAAGCAAAACTGGGGCGGAATATCTGAGATTGGATAAAAAATAAAACATACTTCTTTTACATTGGTGGGTATAGGATAGTTAACAGTTAACAACATGAAAACAATAACAATGAGGGGTTTTGTGGCCTCTGCTCTGGTGCAGTGAAGGTGTCTGGAAAAAAAAAGAAATTACCCTGACATTCCAAAGGTATGTTATGGTAGATGCAAAAGAACGACAGGCACAGTTAAGGTAAAGATTGACTTTTGTCAAGGGAGATACAGGCCTAGGACATGACTACCCACCATGACCGCTTTTAATTAGGAAGTTTTAACTTCACACCATCCTATATGTGGTTCCTTTAGGTCTCTGAGTTCGTAAGGCGGCCACACAGGCCTCTCCTGAGCCTGTCCGGTTTAGTATGTGGCCCCTTTCTCGTCCACAAGGGAAAAATACATAAGGCATTTCCTCTAAAACTAGGATGAGGATGCTTATTCCCTTTATTCAGCATTCTTTTTGAGACTTTACGTACTTCAGTAAGGCAGGAAAATGTAAAGAATATAAATATAGAAAGAAATTATTTGCCAATTGGTTAGAAGATCCAGGAAACTCATCTAGAAATCTAGTTGAATTCATGAAAATTTGGTAAAGTGATTGCAGAAAGGCAGACTTAAAAGCTTCTGCTATGCTGACGCAAAATAGTTTGAATGGAAATTGGGGTGGAGGGTAGATTGGAAATCCTATTTAGAGTAGTAACCAATTGTTAAATACCTAGGAATAAGTTTAACACAAATCCGGAGTATTGTGAAACTGATAAGAATTAGGTTAAGATCCTATTGAAAGAAAGCAACTGAAGTTTCAGTCTGTGGAGAGACATTACATTTCTTGGATGAAAATATCAGAACAATGTCTTTCATCCTAATGATAAATAATTCTAAACAGAATCCCAAGGGAGTTTTTAGAATTAGACCAAGTGATTTTGAAGTTCATTTGTAACAATAAGTTTCTAAGAATAGCCAAGAAAAACATTTAAAATAACTGTAGTAAAGGGAGATTTGCCCTCTTGTAATCCAATAGGAAGTATGATGTAGACACAGGAAGAGACAGATAGATAAGAGGAGTGTCACAGAGGCTTGAAACACACAGTTAATATGTGGTGTAAGGTGTGTTGACTCAGCTCAAAAGAGTCAGGAGGCTTTGGCTAGCAATAAATGAGATTTATTCAAGGGTATTAGGGTTTACAAATGGGAAATTCAAGTAGGCAATGCCAAAAATTTTCCAAAGCAGAAAGAAAAGCTGACAGTTTTTATAGTAAAAAAAGTACATTCTTAAGTAGAGTTCATCCTGCGTTCTTAGCCCATGAATCGGTTCAGGATGGTAAGCTTCACATGTCCCGTGATCTGGACAATGGAATAATGTCTTCTGGAGGTCATTCATATGGTCATCTGAGGGTTTGATGTATGTGCAGGTATTGATGCACAACCAGCAGATGTGTATGCAGGCATTGACGAAGGACTGGGAAGTTCAGAAGTTTTAGTTCCTAGGATAGTTAAGGCAAGAATACAGTCATTTGTGCCTCAGCTTACTTTATTTTGATAATTTAGCAGCTTGACCATAGTGATTCCATTTTATTTCTTCACTCCATTCTGTTTCTTCACTCCGTTCCTTCATTCTACTAATCATTTTGCTTTGGTAAAGGAGATTGAGTTGATTTAATAAGTGATACTGGCATCATGGACTGTATACTAGTATATGCATGAGAACAAAGCTAATTAACCTTAGGAACCATAGAAAAATCAATTTTAGATGGTTTAAGCTCTCTATATAAAAACTAATACATGGCCCTAGTTGGTTTGGCTAAGTGGGTAGAGAGTCGGCCTGCAGACTGAAGGGTCCCTGGTTAGATTCCAGTCAAGGGCACATGCCCAGGTTGCAGGCTCATTCCCCAGTAGGGGGCGTGCAGGAGGCAGCCGATCAATGGTTCTCTCTCATCATTGATGTTTCTATCTCTCCCTCTCCCTTTCTCCTCTCTGAAATCAATAAAAATATATTAAAAAACGAAAATAAAACTAATACTTATAGGAAAGTTTAGGAGTTGGAAAACATTTTTAAAAAGGACAAGAACCTCAGAAATTGTAATGACAACATAATACTGTAAACAAAACCAAAAGGCAGACTGAAAATAATACTGCTAACAAACAGGACAGGGACTTAATCCGTTTAATATATGAAGAGACCCTACAACTTTTTAAATTTTAAAATTATCTATATAAAAATGGTTTAACTATATGAATTGGTACTTCTCAGAAGGCAGAAGTCAATAACCTGAAAACGTTTAAGTCAAGATGTTCACCCTTATTGGTGGCACAAGAAGTTCATGTGAAAATATTAGCAAGGGATTTGATACAAGTAGAAGAAGGGGGACAACAGCCAATGCTGGGAAGGATGAAAGGAAACAGTTGTTCACATGCATTGATGATTGGAGTGTGAATTGCCTTAAAAACTAAAATGCACATGCCTTTGTCTCAGCAATCCCATGTTTGAGCATCCAGCCCACAAACAGAAAAGCATCTATACTTTATTTTATTTTTTTTTAAAATATATTTTATTGATTTTTTACAGAGAGGAAGGGAGAGAGATAGAGAGTTAGAAACATCGATGAGAGAGAAACATCGATCAGCTGCCTCCTGCACATCTCCTACTGGGGATGTGCCCGCAACCCAGGTACATGCCCTTGACCGGAATCGAACCTGGGACCTTTCAGTCCGCAGGCCGACGCTCTATCCACTGAGCCAAACTGGTTTTGGCAGCATCTATACTTTATTATGGAGGTTTATTATGGCTGTATTTGTAGAGGCCAAGGCTCGAAGATGATGAGTGTAGAACATTTTAATGGAATGATACAGTTTTTACAAACATCATTACCTGGAATGATGTTAGGTAAATATTTCCAAGTTTAGAACAATGTGTGTGATCCTAGTTTTACAAAAGAACAAGCACTTGTTTTTATTTGCAGGTGAGACTTTATAAGAATCTTTATGAGCACAGAGAAAAAATCTTGAGATTTTTTAAGCACTTAAATGGGATTGATAAATAGATTAAGGCAGCTGGGGTGTTAGTGTTAGTGTCTTTCCTGTTTTTGCATGGTTACAGTTAAATGATGTATTAAGTGAAGCACATTATAAAACACTGGAGGCCCAGTGCATGAAATCCATGCACAGGTAGGGTCCTTAGGTCTGGCTGGCGATCAGGGCCCATCTGTGGGGCGACTGGCAGGGTGATCGGGGCCCCCACTCGCACCCACCTAGGCTGGCCTGGCATTACCCGCTCGCCAACCCCGCTCCCTGCCGCTGCCGGTGGGGGCCTGCGGGCTGGGGGCAGCTCCTGCTTTGAGTGTCTGCCTCCTGGTGGTCAGTGCACGTCATAGCAACCGGTCGTTACACTGTTCAGTCGATTTGCATATTAGGGTTTTATATAGATAGATTAGGACCATAAGATTTAGTTACCTTAAAAGATGTGACTTTCCACTGTGGAGAACAGTATGGAGTTTCCTAAAAAAAACTAAAAATGGAACTCCCATTTGACCCAGTAATCCCACTTCTAGGACTATATCCCAAGAAACTAGCAACACCAATTAGAAAGGACATATGCACCCCTATGTTCATAGCAGCACAATTTACAATAGCTAAGATTTGGAAACAGCCTAAGTGCCCATCAGCAGATGAGTGGATTAAAAAACTGTGGTACATCTACACAATGGAATACTACACAGCTGTAAAAAGGAAGGAACTCCTACCGTTTGTAACAGCATGGATGGACCTGGAGAGCATTATGCTAAGTGAAATAAGTCAGTTGTATAAAGATAAATATCACATGATCTCACTCATTTGTGGAATATAATGAACAACATAAACTGATGAACAAAAATAGATCCAGAGACAGAAAAGCATCGATCAGACCGTCAAACCTCAGAGGGAAGGCAGGGGAGGGTGGGGGTAAGGGGGAGAGATCAACCAAAAGACTTGTGTGAATGTATATAAGCATAACCAATGGACACAGACACCAGGGTGTGAGGGCATGAGCGGGGTGGGGTGGGGGGGCAAAGGGGGGATAAGGACACATGTAATACCTTAATTAAGAAAAAAAAAAGATGTGACTTTGAGTATATGTGTAAGAGCATTCATATGAAAAATCTGGAATAGATTATTTTAGGGAATTGTGGCAAGGTTGATTTCTTTTTTACAAAAATATATTTTTATTGATTTCAGAGAGGAAGCCGGGGGGGGGGGCGGGGAGAGAGAGAGAGAGAAAGAAAGAAAGAAACATCAATGATGAGAAAGAATCATTTTTCGGCTGCCTCCTGCACTCCCCCTATTGGGGATGGAGACCTGACCAGGAATCGAACCAGGACCTCCTGGTTCATAGGTTGATGCTCAACCACTGAGCGACACCAGCCAGGTGAACCTTGATTTCTGATTTATTTGTTATATGTGAATTTTTTTTACACAAATACGTATTTCGCAACTAGAAAAATGAAAGACAAGGGGAATAACTCTTGCTAGTTTAGGAGTTGCCTAGAGCCAGATGGGTCCCCAGCACTTCAAAGATAAGGCAACCCCCAAACTTAGTTCCTGAATTTACTATAGTGTCTCGATGAGAATTCCAGCTCTTAGCTGCTATACTGACCTCCTTAATAACTCTGTTTTGGGAGCTGGTATGTATTATGTGGCTTTATTACCGGCAGTACTCATAAGTGTTAGAGGAAATTGAAAAACCTTAGGTTAAGAGTTTGGAGTAAAGTGCAAAAATACATCAATAGACAATGAAGTTATTCAGTACTCGTGTAGAAGAAAAACTAAAAGTAGAAGAAAATACAGATAGTAGGAGAGGTGATATAGATTAGGGTTCAGATAACTCTAGGTGTACTTCTTGGCTCTGTTACTGTGCCTTTGGGTAAACTTTGTATCCTCGTAAGTTTGTTTTCTCCATTTGTAAAACAGGGATAATGATAGCACTTGTAGAGTTGTTTAGATAAAATGAGATGGCACATGAAGCATGTAGTAAGCACTGAATTTTAGTTCTTATAGGCATGGGTGGAAGTCATTTTTATTCGTGTGGCAGGTGCTGTGGGATGTCAGCTCCAGCTTGCATTTTCCTCTTCCTCTACAAGTGTTTAACTACTTCCACATGTGTTGGCTCACCCGCATTATTTCTGTTCTTTCTGGAAGGTTCTAGTAGAGGACTGTATTCCGGTACTGAAGAGGTACGCCAAAGAAGGGAGAGAGTTTGATTATGTGATTAATGATTTGACAGCTGTTCCAATCTCCACATCTCCGGAAGAAGGTAGATTTTGTTTTGTTTTTAACCACAAGAACGGAAATGTTCATGGAAATGTTTTTCTTGGCACCATGTGAGAATGATAGGATGTTGGAGATTATCTAGTTAAGTGTCTTCGTTTTTTTTAAAGGTAGTTAAACTGAGGCCCATGGTGGAAAGATGGCTGTATTTGGCTTTGGTCAAATCCTGTCCTGTTCCTAAATGAGCAAATTAACTGTCATTTGAAACAAACATGAAATAAAATGACTCATAATTACATCACTAATACATTAGCTTGTTTGATAATTTGGTGATTTTTAACCTGTAATGGGACAAACTGGTGACCTGCCTAAACAACGCCAGAGACAGTTCCCTTCTCAAACCCCAGGCTTGAAATCACTGCTGGGTTGGGGTTTGAGTGTTAATGATTTTTCTATAACCTTGTCTTCCTGCTGAGTTTGCAGGCTGGATTCCTATCCGATGACCTTTGCAGTTTCTCTCTTGGGATGTTGCTGCTTATCCCCCTTACTTAAAGCTGTCGTCTTGCAGATTTCAACCACTGCTTTTTGTGTCGAATCTTTATTGGTGTTGTGAGAACAGTGCTAAGTAAAGCACATTTGCTTTTGACCCGCTTGGGTATGTGCACATGTGTACAAGATACCCAATTTACATATTCACTAGAAGCCCAGTGCACTGGGGGGGTCCTTCAGTCCCGCTTGCCTCCTCTCACAGTCTGGGAGCCATCAGGGGATGTCCTACTGACGGGGAGCGGGCCTAAGCTGCAGCCTGGCCTCCCTCTGCGGGAGGCGACTAGGCCGATCATGGGAAGGCACCACCCTATTACCCCACTGCTGCTGCCACTGCCAGCCAGTAGGCCCTCGCTTCTTAGTGCTGGCCCTGCCCCCTGCCCACTGGTGGGTGGGGGCGATCTTGGGCCAGGCCGGCTGGGGGAGGGGCTGTGGAAGGTTGAGGCACAGCAGGTCACACCCCCTCCAACCTCTGCGGAGTCATGGCACTAGGACCGGGAGAGGAGGCAGCACCTCCGCTCCTGCTCCCGCAGCGGCGGGGCTCCTGCATAGTGGCCTTGCCTTCACCTTCGCCTTTGTTCCCACTCCTGTGGCGGCAGCCCCGCCTCCGCTCCCGTGGTGGCCCTAGGCCAGGGGTGGGCAAACTTTGAGGGCCACAATGGGTTCTAAACTGGACTGGAGGGCGGGAACAAAAGCATGGATGGAGTGTTTGTGTGAACTAATATAAATTCAAAGTAAACATCATTACATAAAAGGGTACGGTCTTTTTTTTTTTAGTTTTATTCATTTCAAACAGGCCGGATCCGGCCCGCGGGCCGTAGTTTGCCCACGGCTGCCCTAGGCCCTTGCGGCCGCTGTGGCTTTGTCCGGATGGACGTCTGCTCTAATTAGCATATTACCATTTTATTAGTATAGATAAGTGAGAATACATTTTCATTGATTAATAAGCTCTCCGATATTGGGTCTTAAGCTCAAGGCTCTTTCTTTCTTTGGTATTGTTGAGTATTGATGCATTTTGTTTCTGATGCATGCAAACCCATATTTAATAAACCTACATTTTTCAACATCCAGATTCCACATGGGAGTTTCTCAGACTGATTCTTGATCTCTCCATGAAAGTACTGAAACAGGATGGGAAATATTTTACACAGGTAGGCTTCTTAACTGTTCCCCCGCCCCCCAAACTCTTAATAAGCATTTTCTATTTTGAAATTTGAATGCATGTTCATGCAATTTATGTCTGGTAAGGATAGAACAACATAATTAGATTATGATCTTTGAAGCAGTAAGTTTGTAAATAGCCGACCTGGCATCTATTGGGAATTAATCTGCTTTTGTATTCTGTTTGTTACCGGATTTATCAACCTTGGGCTCTGGCTGTAGTATGAGCTGCTGCCACGAGATGGAGACAAAGATTGTGATTTCCCCCTTTATAGGAAATCTACAATGAAACCTGCTTAAAGTCAGCTTATTCTTATAAAAGCAACCCACATTCAGTGAGTTGGGGAACTTTCACAAGTGGAGCTAGGAGGAAAGTGGAACTGTTTTCTTTCATTGAGAATATTTGTCCGGTGGACTGCCTTCTCGGAGAATTGCTATCTCAATACGGAGGATTAATAAAAACACAACCTTAACAGGTCACCACGGCCCATTCATTAAATATTAATGATCCAGGCCTTGATAACTTGCCTTTGCCAACTGACTTTGATGAAAAATCGCATTATATGCCCAGGGCTGTGCCAGTTTCCAAGAAATTCAAAAGCTGTATTAGGACATGTTTCCTGTCCCTGCATTCATTACAGTTGGAGATGCCAGGCTATCTCATTTGATCATACCCAGGAATGATAAATGGTTGAATGTGTGATGGCACACATGGACTAAGGAGGTTGTAGGCCCTTGAAGAAGCAGTGGTCAAGTCAAGAGTGCAGGGTGGTTTGATTCTGGATGTACTGATATAGTTGCCACAGTGCAATATTTTTTTTTACTGCCAGGTGATAAGCTCAGAAGACACCCTTGGTTTACACCAAAGCATGTCAAACTCATAGGCTAACACTAACACGGGCCAAATAAACAAATTTAAGTTTACGTGGGCCACAAAAAACCAAAAGCTTCAATTTTCATAGAAATGTAGATTTATTTCAATAGAGACATGCTGAAGACAAAGGGCTGAAATAAATGAGTCATCGTTAACATAAAATAATAGAACATTTTAATAAAAATTAATATTTTTTCTTGAACATTAACTTACCAGACACTGAATAACTGCACAAATTTAATAAGTGTGATGCAAATAAACCTATTTTTCTTGTTCTCCGAAAGTGAAATATTTCTTGTTGCGCACACCAAAAAAGTCAGTCCAGGACTAATGATGTGGCCATCGGCTGCTAAACTATTCGCTGCTAGTATTAGTGGAGAGAAATGGTGCGCCTATGCATAAGATGCGTAAGGGAAGTGAATGCAACACGATTCTAGTCACCAGTCATTAGCAAACATTGTAGTTCGTTATTAATAATTATGTATAACAGGATATTGTAAAAATTAAGTTACAAATATTTTTTAAATTTTATTTTATTGTTTAAATTATTACAGATAGTAGTACATATGTCTCCTTTTTTTTCCCCCCCATTGACCTTCCCCTGGCCTCCCCTACCCCCTGGCACATGCCCTCACCCCACCACCCCAGGGTCTTGTGTCCATTGGTTATGCTTTATGCATGCATACAAGTCCTTCAGTTGATCTCTTACCTCCCCCCGCAAGGGTTACGAAATTTTTATTAAAATGTTTTTTAACATACCGTTATATTGACTGGGCTGCAAAAATATTCCTTGTGGGCCGCATGTGTTACACCCACCTCCCTTCCTCAAGTGTGTTGCTTCGAACTGGAGTAAGACAATAGAATAGGGTGGTGAAGGCCTGGGGCAGAGGGTGGAGGCGTATTAGAAGAGGTCAATGGGGAAAAAAGGAGACATATGTAATACTTTCAACAATAAAGATGAAACAAGAAAAGAACTGGAGTAAGGGTTAGATGGGATGAAAGTGTTGTTTGACCTGTTGCTTGGTGACTGACAAAAGCTAAATGTTCCTGCTTAAAATTGCTTGCATCACAGTCCCGAGTTCATAATGTCATTGGTGTCACTGTGACCTTGTCATTGTGCCACAAAGCTGGGGAAAGCATCATGGAGTGCCTGGACTTTGGCTCTGCTGGATGGGGGATCTGAATCTGAATCTGGGAGAGAATTGCTTTCACAGGACTAGGGTGCAGATCCTGAGACTTGGCCTCCCTCCTTTTACTCCCCACTCCTCATTAAGTCTAGGTTTTTTAATAATGTGTGTGACATTCATGCAAATTATAATGCAAAGTATAAGCAAACTCTGACTCTCCTAACTTGAGAATTGGACATTGCCAGTACCACTGACACATCTCCATCCCTCCCTAATCCTTGCCCACCTTCTAGAAGTAAACTACCTTTAGTGTTATTGGGTTTTTTATTCCTGTGCTGTTCTTTATAGATGTTTCACATATTTGTGATATACTAACTCATTATATTGTGTAGTTTTCCTTGCTTTTGAACTCAATAAAAATGGTGTCCTTAAGGATGTATACTTTTGCACCTGCTTTTTACATTACAGAAGTAATACATGCTAACTGTTAAGTTTAAAAGACACAAGCAATACAGAAATCTAAAGTAAAAAACTAAGATTCACTTACCCACATCTAACATGGGTCAAGGAGAACTTTCTAGAACTGAAGCTACTGAATTGGGATTTACTCCCTTGGAGTGCACCCCCCCCCCCGGCCCCATTATTCCCTTTCTCTCATCCTTAATAAGTGCTTAATTCTTTGCTATTAGATTTTTGTTCTGCATTTCCCATGTGTCTTTCTTAAGAAAATTTAAAAAAAAGTAGTTCTATTTAAATAAACAGGAAAGTGGAATGCATCATGTTACTTTTTTGGGTAGGTCTCTATTTGTGGTGAGTTTATTTTCTTTTTTAAGCTGCTTTTTGACAGTGTTGGGGAAGAACAAATTGAAAGTATCCTATTTCCTTACCACAGTCTCTGTGAGGAGGTTCTCCCGTTATCCCTCTGTGAAGAGAGTGTGGTGTCAATTTTAGGATGGCAAGGGAAACCATTGAACTGTGTACGTCGGTGGCATTTCTATTCTACAGCTTCCCCAGGGGTGATGTGCTCTAAAAACAACCAGGCAGTGTTTTCTATTTGTGAGTCTTAAATTACACATGTGGTGTTTATATGCTCTCATGCTGAACTTGATGTTGAAACCAAATTATATGCTGGCCAAGGGCACTTTGGCCAAATCCCACTGCAGGACCTAGATGATGGGTTACTAAACTGGCTGGCACTGAAGGATGACGTCATGCTGAGCGAATGTGCTAAGTTAAAACCACCAAGGCCAGTTCTCAGAATAGTTCTGTCTACCGGCTTGCCCATGGCTGGCTGGTTGATTGGTTTTGAAAGATTATCCTCAAAAATGCTTACATCACAGGCTGTCTTAACTTGTGAATAATTTTCATCTTATATTGTACATGCCTATTTTTTTGGCAAATTCACAGTGAGATTCTTTTGAAGAAATAGAATCAGCACATACATTCATTAGCCCTCTGAATGTTATGAACTTCAGTGGTTAAAAGAAAGTAGGTGGTGCCCAGCCAGTGTTGCTCAGTGATGGAGCATTGACCTATGAACCAGGAAGTTATGGTTCGATTCCGGTCAAGGGCACATGCCCGGGTTGTGTGGTCTTGATCCCTAGTAGGGGACTTGCAGGAGGCAGCTGATTGATGATTCTCTCTCATCATTGATGTTTCTATCTCTCTCTTCCTCTCCCTCCCTCTCTAAAGTCAATAAAAATATGTTTAAAAAAAAGAAAATAGGTGGCCAAAAAAAAGAAAGAAAACAGGTGGCATTAAATACCTATCTTATATTCTAAGTCCATTATGAAAGCACTTGGGGAGACAGTGTGCTAGAATGATAGACCCTACCCCCAGCCTACTAATTGAAAATTTATATTTTAGCAAGATCACCTATGATTCCTGTGTACACTAAACATTGAGAGCCACTGCTTTCCAGTGCTGGTTCTCCTTCAGAGAAGGCCCACAATGGCATGATCCTGAAGCCCCACTTCCACAAGGTCTGGCAGCTGTGCATTGTCACATGGTTGAACCACCACATGTGAGATCCAACAGTGCAAGGCCCAGCAAGCCAAAGCATGCCCTGTATCCAGACCCATACTGTCCATGGAGAGATGCCCCACAGTGAGGTACCTCAGCACAGTGTGAGCCAGCAGGGGCTTCAGCTTGGAGGAATTAGAGTGACCGGCATCCATAAAAAGGGCGGCCCGGACCATTGGGATCTTGGTGGATCCGAGGAGGCAGAACAAGTCCACTGCGTCCCTGCAGGCCAACGTGCAGCGGCCTGAAGGAGTACCGCTCCAAGCTCATACTCTTCCCCAGTAAACCCTAGGTAGGCCCCCAAGAAGGGAGACAGTTTTGCTGAAGAACTCAAGTTGGCCACCCAGACAGGACCAGTCATGCCCATAAGGAATGTTTACAAGAAGGAGAAAGTCAGGGTCATCACAGTGGAGGAGAAGAACTTCAAGGCATTCACCAGTCTTTGCGTGGCCCGCACCAATGCCCAGCTCTTTGGCATCTGGGCAGAAAAAGCCAAGGAAGCCGCAGAACAGGATGTTGAAAAGAAAGTGCTGTTGGCAACTTGTGATTAAAAAATAAAAAGATTAGAAGCAGTGCTGTAGAACCATGCAGATGAGGTATCCATTTAGCAGCTCTACCATGTCTCTTGGCCAGCATCTCTGATTCTCTTCACCTTTTTTTTTTTTATTCTCACACAGTGGCTGCTGCAGCTCCAAATGTTACATCTAGGTTATAGGCTAGAAGAAAATTGAAGGGGTGGGCCACTGTTCATTCTTGATTGTCTAGAATAAAATACTTTCTCAGTAGCCCCCTAGCAGATGTCTGCTGTATTCGTTGACCACCCTGATCTGCTTGTGAAGTTGTTCAGAGGTGGCAAGAAAGGCAGAAAATTTAGAACAATGAAGTCAAGAGAAAATGTTTGATAAGGAGTGGAACTGGGCAATACCCTTAGTGTATATACCGTGAATGAACTTTTGCTCTCTTATGCCTTAAGTCAAATTTCAGGGAAAGCATGGGGGGTAAATATAGTTCTATGCCAATATCTTAAACTGTTATGAGGGTCATAGTTTAAGCCCTCTGGACACGGAGAATATTACATATATATATACATTTTTTTAATTTGGACAAAAGGGGAGGAGGGATGAGGGAGCCGGCCCTCGGCCCCCCTGGGAAAGGGGCCGCATCCGCCGCCACCCACCAGAATATATTTTTGATACATTATTCTAAACGCAGTGTGACTACTGGGAAAACTTATATTGAATGGGTTTTGTGTATGAATCTTTGCTATTGCATGGTGTTAATACAAAGGCTGTGTCCCTAAATGAGAAATTGGTCTCACTTTGTTTTGTATTGTCTCATCCTCTAATCATTTGAAATGGCTTGGTAAATGAGGTAGAAGAAGAATGAACTAATGGATCTATAAATAGAGCTCAGTGCAATTTGTGAAAGTACAGAAACCATATCTCATTTTCAAAGACGAACTTTTACCGAAAGCTAGAATTGGTCCCATTTATTAGCGACCTTCAAATGAGTGGGACCCTCAATGGACTCCAGTATCCCATTGTTTGCTTTTCTCTCTTTGATTTAGGGGAACTGTGTCAATTTGACAGAAGCCCTGTCACTCTATGAAGAACAGCTCGGACACCTGTATTGTCCTGTGGAATTCTCAAAGGAGATCGTCTGTGTCCCTTCATACTTGGAATTGTATCCTTTGACCTGATCGTTGTGTTGCCAGATCAGAACACCAAGTCAATCCCATGCCAGCTTAACATTTTGAATAAACAGAATTCTCTGTAGTGTATGAGGCCCCAGTTTCCAAGCGCGGCTGCACAATGGAAGCCCCTGGGATCTTTAAAACAATACTGATTCCTGGGTCCCGCCCTCAGATTCTGGCGTGTGGCCTGCTACAGCTCCCAGTTGGTTTTCATGTTCAGGCACCACTGGTTCTGACAGGTGGTCCCCAGCCCTGCAGCGTCATCTGGGAAATAGTTAGCCAGGCAAATTCTTAAGCCCCACCCGGCCTGCTGCCCAATGAGAAAAGCTGGAGCTGGTGACTGGCCTTATGTAGCCAGCCCTCCAGGGGATTGACGTGCACACTGAAGCTTCAGAACCCCAGCTGTTGCCGGCAAAAACACTAAAGACATGCCTTCTACTTCTGTCTTACGATGATCCTACTATACTATCAGTTTCTACACTTGATTCTGATTTGCAATAGAAATCGAGAGCTAGAAATAATGCCAGGGGTCTCAAACTTAACGTTGGTGTTCTCTATTAGGGCCACTTAGTAAATTTAATCCCTAGAAAGAAGAAAAGAACTGGGGGGGGGGGGGGAGGCGCGGACTGGAATGAGAGCATCGTCACTGGAAATTTATAATGGGTTTCCTCCTCCTCAAAGGCACACTGGAGGGTGCAGACAAAAGCTTGCTTTCTTGAGGTGGTGGAGTTTCCTGTGATTGCTGCTGGCCTGCAGTGAGGCCCGGGCCTGCAAGGCGGGGCAGGCTCTGACAGACAGGAGGCCATAACCTGCCCCCCTCCCAGAGTCCTCCCTGGGATGCTTTGAGTGCTCTGTGCTTGCTGGGCCATGTTCTTCCTTGCCTGCGGCTGACCAACCATCCACTTTCATCAGGGCTCTTCTCTAGAGCATTTTTACGGTCAGGTCTGTGTTTCTCTCTGGAAATGCAACCAGACAACCAAGGGGTCCGGGCTGCCTGTCACTACATGAGCCAATTCAGCAAAGACAGGGTTGAATCATATATGAGCGTTTATTCCAATACTGCCGGCAGGATGGGAGAGCAGCAGGTCATCTACAAAAATCTGCTCTGCCCCCCACCATAAGCCAGCTGCTTATATTGGGTAGAAGGACAAAGATTACGTGGGAAAGTAGGAATTACAGGCATGGGAAAGTGGGCACGGGATAATCATACAAGTCATGGGGGCTGTGGTGGGGGGGGAGCGGTCACAAAGGGCAGGCGCCTCACGGTGCCCCGGGACCAGATTACAGGCAATAGAGGCTGGGGTTGTAAAGAACAGGTGCCTCCAGGACTAGATTGCTTCAGCCACGAGGTTGTAAATCTTTCCATAACGATAGGCAGTTCTCAGGACAGGAGGATGGACTGCATTCCGATGTTAGCTCCCCTGTCCCAGGGCGTACAACTCCCAGCCAGGTTAGAATGTGCTTTCTCTACTCAGAACGGAACCATCACGGTTAACAGAGCATGATTAAGATTTCTTATCATTATAATTAGTTTCCAATATTCTATTTCTGCCCCTAACAGAAAGACTTGAGAAATCAGTTGATAACATTTGGAAAAAAGGCTTCAGCTTGGGCTCCGGCTCTTCTCCCTCCTTCCACCTTTTTTTTTCCCCTCTTCTTGCCACCTCCCACATTCTCCCCACTCCATTTCTCACCTCCCTCTTGTTTGTGTCTCTTCCTCCCACCCTTGTAAGAATTTCCTAAAACATCTTGGAGATCTTGAAAGCAGCATTATTACCTTTTCTCCGCACACCCCTCCCCCACTCAGTGTCATAGGTTTGTGAGTGTCCAGGCTGCCAAGTGGGTTATGGAAGAGGCCTTCATTCTTGTTGCTGCAGTGCGCTAAGCCAGCGGTTTTCAACCAGGGTGCCGCAAGAACTTTTAAAACCTGCAGTCCTGGCTAGTCAGGGCCACTGACCTCTTTTCCCTTAGATTGTCAAGTAAAAAAATGACAACAGCCAACACAACAGTAGCCATCTGGTATGAATGAATCAAAATGATACTTCTTCTGTCAGATCGGCAAAAAGTATAACATAGTTTTTGGTGTGCCGCAGAATTTTAATAATTAGTAAAATGTGCCATGAGATGAAAAGGATTGAAAATTGCTGCTCTAGGCGATTTTTGCAGGCCAGCAAATTGTTAACGTAAAAAACATTTAAACCTGTAAAGAATTTTGTGAGTTGATTTGAGCCCTTCTGTCGACAGTTGCAGGGAAGCAGAATTCAACCTATTGAGATAGTGCCTCTTATAATGGCAGTTTTTTTTTTACCTTGTTTTATGCATTACAATCAAAGGAGGAGACATAAGTGGGGTTAAGTGAAATTCATTGGTGATAGAGTAGGGAGGCGGGATAAAGCAAAGCGCCAGACCTCTGGGATTGGATAGAAAGTAAAATGATACACAGGTGGATTAAGGATAGTTAGCAGTCAACAAATAGCAAGATAAAAACCATAAGTGTGTCCTGAGGGCTCTGGAAAAAGGGAAGTTAACGAGTGGCCCTGACATTTCACAGGTAAGTTATCTTGGATTCAAAAAGACAATAGGCTCAGTAAAGATCATAGTTGATCTTTGTCGGGGAAGATACTGGCCTAGGACATGACTACCCACTATAAGCTGCTTTTTAATGAAAGGTTTTCATTTCAGACCATCCTTTGTGGTTACTTTAGGTCTCTTGAGTTTGCAAGGCCGCCACGCAGGCCTTTCCTGAGTTAGGCAGGTTAGCATGTGGCCCCTTTTCGTCCACAACATTTTAAGTGATACCTGTTCTTCTTTGAATTACCTGTTCTCATTCCTTGACTCCTTGTCCAGGTGGGTATTTTACACTGTTTGGAAGAAAGCTAAACCTTGAAGATCAATAGCCCCTCATCACGTGTGCTACAAATAGCCTTCCTGACCTGGACATGCTGTACATGCCATCAAAGCGAGTCAGGCAATTGATTGTGAATTCCTTCAAGTTTTCTTTTTTTAATTATTTTTTAATTTAAAAAAAGGCAAATGGAAAATGTATATTTTGATGACCTAGGGTGTTATTTTTTGAAAGTCAGCTGAAGGATGATTAGCTAGCATAGCAAAGGCTGCTAAATGCACTGAACCCTAGAATGTGATTTTTTTTTTTACTTTTTTTTTTTCTGTGTGGGCTGTTTTCGTTTTGGTTTTGGTAGACTTTGAATTTGGTTGTTTGGAGGAATGAATATCACTGTTTTATTCTGGAGGGGAGTTCTTGATGGTGTTTCTTTCCCAAAAAAGGAATTGACTTATGTGGTTAAAATTTGGTGCTTTTATGAAAGTTAAAAAAAATTAATCAGCAATGCTTTGATTAAAATTACAAATGAGAAATTTCATGTGTCTGTTCTTTTATTTCAGTTAGGTCTCCTCTTTCTTCCTACTGCACAGAACAAAGGTGTCTCCTGGTCTTTTTTTAGTTCTCTTTTATCACTCCCGGTGTCATTTATCTCTTTACAATAGGATGGCCTTAGGGCCTTTTTTGAACAGTAGTAATGACTTCCATTTACCATTGTGGTAAATGATACACACAGCCTATTACGTTCACCAGTTCTTCATTATAAAATTGACCTGAGGGTAGGAAAAGATTTGGCCTTCCTGTGAAGTTGAAAGTCAGAAGCTTTTTTCTGTCCCCCATCTTACTTGTGTGTTAGATGTGGAAACAAAGATCAGTTTGGATGGCTGCTGTGAAGCTTGGGGAAGATTTTTGGATGCACAAATAGATGATAGTTTGTAGAGAGGCCTGCAACCAGAACAACTTGAACTCGCCTAAGGAAGTGCTTGTAACTACTAGCTTGGTGTGTTTGTGGGAAACAACCCACATCAGAGGTGAGGGTATGTTGACTTGGCGGATTAGATATCACTGAGTATGGGGGTACGTTCTCTCTTCCCGTGACCAGCACCGAAAGAGAGAACTTGGGGGCGGGGGGGTGTTCAAGAATCTTGAGTAGAACGCGACGAGGGCTAAGGAAGAATGAAAAACGAGACTGAGAAAGAAATAGAGGGGAAAGCTGGGCCTGGGTGTGGCGTCTGCACTCTGATAGATGAACTGAGCGCCAGCACCGGAACCAGGTGTTTAATTTATACTCCCAAATAGCAGGAAGTTACATCAGTTCTGGGCAGGCCAGTGGGCATGACGAGCAGTCAGGAACCTGAGGGCGTCGCTCCACCTCAGGGCCCCCTCCCACAGGGCGGGGCCGGTTAGAGGGAGGAGAGTCCTATTCATTCCTGGTGCTTGGGGGGACTTAGAATAAATAAAACCCACTCCCAGACACCTGGGCAGCAAAGATAAGAGTCAATGCTGAGAACACATCGCCATCTTGGTTAGATGTGTATCCAAGGCTCGGCTCTGCCAGTCACCTTGGGTTCAGCTGACAATATTTTAGGAAGCATGCCCATGTGTCTTCCCTGGGGGGCCCTCTACAACTGAGTTATGTTGTTTTAAAACAAAAGGTTTATGCTTTATCAATAGAGTTCATTTATGGTGAATTTACAGTAAGCAAAACATTAAAAATGAAATATTCAATGTTCCTTTTGAGATAGAATTAGTGACAAATCAGAGCATTCTTCCTCCCAAGATAGGTTTATGGTATCTGGCAGATAGTCTTTAAAATGAGTGTGTGCCTACTTTTTTTCTTTCTATTAGATTGTCATGGAAGAAGACACAGTAATAGAATAAGAGGAGTTAAAATCATGTTGGAACTAGATTGGCTCTCAGCAAGTATTTTTCTTGTGCCTAGAAGTTAAAAATGGCATTGATAGAAATTAAGAATCCTACCCACCCCTCAAATGCTTCTATAATGCTTTACAAAGGCTCTGTAAACTGTAAAATTAAAAAATAATGCTGCTATTACTGTTCAGATTCTGTTTTGGGTTAATAGAATGGGATGATTCCCACTTTAAAAAAGAATCCAAGTATATCTGGTGTCTGAAAATAGTGTTTACTGATACGTGGGCATGGCTTTATGCTTGAGGCCAGGGCTCAATCCACTGATAAATCTGGTGACATACAGGTCCTGCCAAGAGCTTAGAGTTAGAAATGAGGTGGATCAGGTTGTGCCAGGCCATGGAAGATGCATTCAGGGCAGAGTAAGGAATGTAGTAGGGCAAGAAGAAAGGAATGGAAATACATATTTTTTACTTTGGGTGAGAATGGTAAATTCTGACCCTACCCATTTCTCCGTATTGAAGAAAGGACAATTTAGCCTGATTGTTTTAAAAGCATGCACATTCTGAATTCTGATAATTAAAAACAACGTCCACTTTTGCTGTATTTTTTAAGGAAATGTGATAAGATCTAAGCACTGTTATTTCACTTTAATGGCTATAGTGTTGTAGTCTCCTTTATAATCTAAAATTGGCCCAGCCAGAGTAGCTCAGTGGTTGAGCTTCGACCTGTGAACCAGGAGGTCATAGGTTCGATTTCTGGTCAGGGCACATGCTGAGGTTGCAGGCTCGATCCCCAGTGTAGGGCATGCAGGAGGCAGCTGTTGAATGATTCTCATCATTGATGTTTCTCTCTCTCCCTCTCCCTTCTCTCTGAAATCAATAAAAATATATTAAAATAAAATTGGATATGCTGTAGTATGAAGATACCACAGCATATTCAGTTTTTTTAAAGACAAGAAATATGGCTGTAGTTTAAATTCTCTCCAACTCAGCAGATATAAAGAAAAAAAGAAAATGCTATTTTCTCTTGAAAGTGTGATCGAATATTTTAAAAACGTGATTGGTCAGTGACTGGGCTGGAGGAAGGCTGGTTGATGGTGCTTTTTTTACTGGGCTGGAGCAGCGCTGATGTCATAGTGAAAATGTGCTACTGTTTCCCGTGCAGTCGAATAGTCCCCTCCTTGCTTGCATTAGCTATTGCTACCATAGAATTTGCATTGCTCTCAATAAATTGATACGTTTCATTCTGTTCCCATGAGTTGTGGGACAGGGTGAAGGAAGTGTGTAAGTGATGTTATATACCACTAGAGGCCGGGTGCACGAATTTGTGCATGGGTGGGGTCCAGCAGGCCCACCCTGATCAGGACCGATTGGGGAGGGGCTGTGGGTGGTTGGCCGGCTGGCCCCACCCTCTGGTCGAACTCCCAGTCTGCATATTAGCCATTTATTATATAGGATTGGCCTGTATTTGAGGTTCTAGAGCAGTTCTGCTAAAAGTGAAGTCCTTCAGTTGTTTTCTAAGCACTTGTTTTTTTACTTCTGCTGAACTTTTTTGTTCATGACAAGGCTTTCTCTGTGAAGGAAGCAGTTCATTGATTGATTGTGGTTCAAGTGCGTTACCCATTCTTAGAATAGCACTTTGCCGTTGAGTTGCATCATTTTTAAAAAAAATGTTACCATTTATTTTTAAAAAATATTTAACTATTTTTTGTGTGTTTTTTTTAAAGGGAGAGGGATAGAGAAACATCAATGAGAGAGAAACATGGATTGGCCATCTCCTGCATGCCCCCTACTGGGGATCAAGCCTGCAAGCTGGGCACGTGCCCTGACCTGGAATGGAACCTGGGACCCCTTGGTTCCTGGGTTGACGTGCTCAACTACTGAACCACACTGGCTGGTGCACAGCCGCATTATTTGATAGGAGCTGCTGTGTGGCCTTGAGAAAATAATCTCCTATTATTCTGTCGCTGAGTGTCTTTTTGTATCAGATAATCTTTACCTTCCTGTGCTTTGGGTTAATAAACCACTTTCCTTTACATTAGCTTGCTCAGCCTAAAACTAGCTTTGTGAATTCGGTGTTAATGTCACAGAGTAGGCCAGCAGTCAAAATGTAAAATATGCTTGGGGTCCCATGGCTAGTAACCATTTTGAGTCTAGGTTCCAGCATTCAGAATTTGCCCTCTGAAAGCTGACATCAGGGTTTCTTATCCTATTTTGCTCCTCGGACTCTGGCAACCTGGTGAAACTAGTGAGCTTCTCCTCAGAAACATGTTTTTTAATACATAAAGAAGAAATAATTAGAAGGAAACAAGTTACTTTTTTTCAAAAATTTATGATTTAATATTTGTGCCTTAATAACTTTTTACACAGCTGGATCTATCTAGTGGTGGGTTGAATGCCATATTAAAAATATATTTTTTTATTGATTTCAGAGAGGAAGGGAGAGGGAGAAAGAGAGAGAAACATCAATGATGAGAGAGAATCATTGATCTGCTGCCTCCTGCACATCCCACAGTGGGGATGGAGCCTGCAACCCGGGCATGGTGCCCTGACCGGGAATCCAACTGTGACCTCCTGGGCACATGCTCAACAGCTGAGCTACACCGGCCGGGCTGACTACCATATTTTTGAGGTAGTAGTGAGCACAAATATTTATAAGATCTGTAGCAACTGAAAAATGATGACACAAAGTCATAGGTACTGCCAAGACTGACATGGTTTGCCACCTACGTTCATGTTTAAAGTAAATGCAAAATTTCAGTGAGTGGTTAGTGAAAATGAGGATAAAAATGTTTCCCCATCCAAGTTTAGGGATGTTCAGAATTCTGTCCATAGTTCCCAGGTTAAGAACCCCTGACCTATAGTTTTTGCTTTCATAGTATTTAGGTGGTGGGCCAGGGTAGCTGGGTACTTTTCACCTTGATGTCAGAACCTCAAATCAGTACTGGCAGATCCGTTCTCCTCGGCCAGGATCATTTAAAATCTCAATTACCTGGTGTAGTCATTCCACCGATTTCTGCTTTATTCATTATTTCAAAAATGAGAAATAGATCATGGGCAAAAAATAGTCCCGTGCTTTTGGAAAGCTATTTGAGTACTCTTTGGATGTGATTTCCCTGGGAAATCAGATGATAAATGTGACTGGACAAGTAGGCTCATCTCCTGTACTGGGGTCCCGGAGATCCGCTGGCCAGCTCATTAATGCAGATGGTGTCCCCTGGCAGCATCCAATGATGTGGTGGTCATTTCTGTGCGGGATCCCTTTATGATGAAGCATTAGGGAACAGTTCAGCCCCTCTGCAACTTTACACAGGAACAGAACAGAATCAGTGAGTCGGGGGCTCTCCCAGGTAAAGCAAGCGGAACCAGTCCAGTCCATATTGACAGAAGCCCTCCAATATCCAGAGAGGTGTATCCTAGAGACGGAAGCCCAGGATTGTTTGTCTAATGTTTTATGTGTGTTGTAGGCACTTAGGAGTTAAAGTGCACTGTAAAGGCCAATTCTTAGAATTCTGTTTTCCAAGTGGGACATGGGGGAAACAGGCTGGTGTGAAAAAATTACACGGAGTTAGGCATGTTCAAGAAGAGAAATAGCTGCCCTACCCGGTTTGGCTCAGTGGATAGAGCGTCGGCCTGCAGACTGAAAGGTCCCAGGTTCGATTCCGGTAAAGGGCATGTACCTTGCTTGCGGGCACATCCCCAGTGGGGGTGTGCAGGAGGCAGCTGATCGATGTTTCTCTCTCATCCATGTTTCTGACTCTCTATCCCTCTCCCTTCCTCTCTGTAAAAAAGTCAATAAAATATATTTTTTTTAAAAAGAAGAGAAATAGCCTATGATGATAAAGGGAGACGTGCCTGCATCTTCATGCATCAAGGATAAAATATATTTTTTTTAAAAAGAAGAGAAATAGCCTATGATGATAAAGGGAGACGTGCCTGCATCTTCATGCATCAAGGAGCAAGAATGTCCCCCCTGACCTAGCAAGACTACGGTCCCAGTATGAGTGACAGCACTGTGTAGGTGAAGGTTTCTTCATCAGGGTTCGAGTCTTTGGGTTTCCTTCTTGCTGCGCCCAAGGGCTGAAGAGGAGCAGAAACTCCTGTGTACAACATTCAGACCAGAATGGCACCCGCCAACCATTCTTGAACATCTCCACCCTTGGTGATGGCCCACCCATTGGACAGAATGCTTGCACATGGGCTCCAATTTGGTCCTCACCGGCCTACAGTGGACTGTGGCTGGGGTTCCCATCAGTCCCTGCAGGTCAGGCAGCAAGGCCACTGGTCCTGTCTGCTCAGGGGATGTGATAGCAAGGAACTCTGATTGATCCTGGATGCTTGTGATTAGTTTGAGCCTTGCCCTAGGCTCCAACTGGGTAAATCCAGGATAGATTTATGCACTAAAATATTTAACCATAGTAATGAATTTTACTAGTAAATGACTGCAAGAAAATTGGAAGTCATGAGGGTGCATGGAAAACAAATATACAAAAAAATGGGGGACAAATATAACGGATAAGATGCTTACTGTAGAATGCTGATTACCAACTAGCTAAAGGGGAGGGAGTGCTGCAGTTGAAAAATTAGCATTTTGTTGGCACAGTGAAGACTGAATCAGGCAAAAATCATCCACTGGTGAAAAAATCTTGGAGATGTTGACAAGGAGCATATTTATGTGGCTTTGTTTCCCACAGATTACTTATGAGCTGCGTATCAGTTTCTTATTGCTGCTCAGACAAATTTACCGCAAACAGTTCCTTAAAATAACACAAATTTATTCTCTGACATTTCAGGAGGTCAGGAGTCTGAAATAAGTCTTGCAGGGCTCACATCAAGGTGTCTCCGGGCTGGTTTCTTCTGGAGGCTCCAGGGGAGAATCCATTTCCTGCCTTTTCTAGCTTCTAGAGGCTGTCTGCCTTTTTCTGGCTCTTGCCCTCTTTCTTCCATCTCAAAGCCAGCAACATGGCATCTTCAAATCTCTCTCCCTCCGCAGTCACGTTGCCTTCTCTTTCTGACCCCTGAGCATCCCCCTTGTAAGGCCCTCTGGGGATTGTGTTGGGTCCACCTGGATGATCCATGATAATCTCCCCAATTCAACCACAGCTGCAACGTCCCTTTTGCGATATAAGGTAACAAGGTTCTGGAATTACAGTATGGTGTGGACATCCTTAGGGGGGCATTATTCATCCTAGGACCCATTGCAAGAGGAAAAATCGACTTACAGTGGAGGAATTGTGCAACACTTTGACCAGGTGATCAGAAAAGAGCAGATGGACATCGCACCTCCAGTACTCAGGAGGGTCCATCAGCAGCTATGCAATACTGGGTAAGACTGCATTGCTCGAATGTAATCTTGAGGAAACATTAGGCCCCAAATGAAAAATGTTCTATTAAAAAGAGGCCTGCATTCTTTATATTTTTTATTGATTTTTGAGAGGAAGGGAGGAGAGGGAGAGAGAGATAGAAACATCAGTGATGAGAGAGAATCATTGACTGGCTGTCTCCTACATACCCTCCACTGGGGATTGAGCCTGCAACCCAGGCATGTGCCCTGGACCAGAATTGAACCCGGGACCCTTTAGTCCACAGTCCGATGCTCTATCCACTGAACCAAACCAGCTAGGGCAAGAGGCCTGAATTCTTTAAATGTATTAATGTTAAAAAGATAAAAGGCTGTGAACAGGTTTCCAGATTAAAGGATGCTGAAGAGTCATGGCAACTAAATGCAGTACCTGACCCTACATTGGACCCTGTATTGGAGGAAAAATGCTGTTAAAGGGTATTATTGTATAAATTGACAAATTGGAACAGGAATGGTAGTTTTTTTCTTTTTTATATAAATCTCTTTTTAATGTTTTTATTTTTTTTTTTTTTTTTAGAGAGAGAGGAAGGGAGAGGGAGAGAGAGAAACTTCCATGAAAGAAACATCAATCAACTGCCTCCTGAACGCCCCACACTTGGGATGGAGCCCGCAACCTGGGCATGTGCCCTGACCTGGAGTTGAACTGTGACTTCCTGGTTCATAGGTTGACACTCAACCACTGAGCCACATCAGCTGGGCTCCATTGATTATATTTTAGAGAGAGTGGAAGGGGTGGAGGGAGGGAGAGACAGACAGACAGACAGACATTTATGTGAGAGGCACATTGATTGGTTGCCTCCTGCAGGTACCTGCAATCCAGGTACGTGCCCTTGACTGGGAATCAAACCTGCGACCCTTCGGTGCTTGTGCCAACACTCTAACCACTGAGCACCACCAGCCAGGGATGAATTGTGATAGTTTAAATTTGAACATAGAATCACATTAAAAAGCTGTTCAATTAGTTTTATGAGAAAACTGGCTGAGGACTTTAAAAGGTTCAGCTGGAACAGTAGTTGTCCTGCTATTTAGAAATAGGAGTAAAAAAAAACGAGGACAGTGCTTCTGAAACTTGAATGTGCATAGGAATTGATTACCTGGGGACCTTCTTAACCGTTTGAGTCCCAAGCAGCGCCATTGCGCTGCTTGGTATTTCTCGACATAAAATAAAACAAGCGCTATCACGCTGTTTGGGTCTTTTCGTACTCATTTAGAGAAAGCGCGGTTGCGCTGTTTGGGATTCTTCGACAGTGTTTTTTCAATACCCCCCGGGACTCAAACGAATCGTATGTTTTCTCGACATAAAATCTCAGCAGTGCGATCGCGCTGCTTGGGACTCAAACGGTTAAAATAGTCTGATTCAGTAGGTCTAAGGCAGGGCCCAGGAGTCTGCATTTCTGACAGTCTAATCAGCTGGCATTGATGCTGCCAGTCTGTAGACCATGCCTTGAATAGTACCGAGTTAGAGTGACCTGGGAAATCATATGGATTGTATTGGAGAAAAATGGAGAAAGCTGTTGCATGAACCACTGCTGACATGAAATGTTTGAAATATCAACTTATTGTTACCAGCGACCTCCAAAGCAATAGATACTGGCCTAGTAATGCTAAAATGAGTTTGTGTTTGATGTCCAAGGCTTTGACATGTCCTCATAGATTTTTGTTTAAAAAGCAATTGGATAAACCATTAATCTGTGGCTCAATTTTTAACCTCCCAATACTCCCCCAAAGGCTTTTATCCCCCCAGCATTTGAAAAATGACAAAACTGGTGGTGGATGGAACCAATTAGTGGAGACTTTGAAGTAATGAGCAGTGCAGAAATGTTCGAGTCCTCCCTGCAATTTTGAAAGGCTGTGGAGACCCCGTGGCCTTGACAGTTAGAAGGTTCTCAACACCAGGATAAGGGATTATGCTTTTTATTCAACTAAACATGCAACTCACTGAAGCTGGGATTGTGCTTTGATTTCACGGGTTTAGGTAAGTTTGTTTATTTCCGTGGAGAGTAAAACCGGAACAAATTTTCAATTTGTGCTTGGGTCTTTTTCGGATTTATTGAAAATACAGAGAATAATAAGGGGAAAGATTAGAGGTTATGTGATTCAGTTTTGACATTGTGCTAGAACAGCTTTTTGTAGCACTTCTCGGCCACTTTGGCCACAGCCTCTGTAGAGGGTCAGCAAAGACAATGAGATACATTAAGGGCAGTGTATGAGGGAAAGAACATGTGGGCAGCCTCTTCAGCAGAAAAAAAAAAGCAGCATGAAATACCAGCTCAAAGCAACAGGGTACTATCAGGGCTGCTGGAAATAGAAGCATGAAGGAGTAAATGTAGATTTACTAAGGCAAAGGCTATAAAGTAAGCACAAGAGAGTAGGGCTAGAGGTGATTTACTACAAGTGCTTTGTAAAACAGCAAACATTTGGAAGACAGAAAGACCTAATATTTATTCCTGCTACAGCTATGTGGAAAGATAAACTCTTAGATTTTCCATTAACCAAAAGGCCATCAGGTCCTTCCAGTCTTATCTCTCCCTTGCCAGAAAGACATCTGGGATAGTGTTATGGTTGAATTGTGTGTGTCCTCTACCCCAGAATGTTGAAGTCCTAACCACCACCACCCCAGTACCTGTGAATGTGACCTTATTTGGAAATAGCGTCTTTGCAGATGATCAAGTTAAAGAGAGACCATTAGGGTGGGCTGTTATCCAGTATGACTGGTATCCTTATAAAAAGGAGAAATTTGGACCAATATAATGTGAATACACAGGGGGAACGCCGTCCTACAAGCCAAGGAATGCCTGAGAAGAAGGGCCTGGAACAGATTCTCCCTCACAGCCCTCAGAAGGAACCAGCCCTGCTGACACCTTGATTTCAGACCCCTGGCCCCCAGAACTGGGAGACAATACATTTCTGTGTAAAGCGACCCAGTTTGTGGTACTTTGTTACAGCAGCCCCAGGAAACTAATACACACCATCTTCCAAATAGATGGCAGATAGAGGAGGGTTTATCTATTAACTATTACCGCCATAATATTATATAACATGAGCAAGACTGAAATTTCAACAGCTTAGATCGGTACGTGTTAATTTCTCTCTCACCCATCTATGAGTTGGTTGGGGTTCAGCAGATCCAGGCTAGGCTCTGCTGGGCTTTGTCCAAGCTGTGTGTTGAGTCTAAGTCTGCTTCACATGCCTTTCAACCTCCTTGGACCAGTGGCTGCCTGAGACATGTTAGGGTGACAGATGAGAGTGCAGGAGGGCAAGCACAATGATGCATCCACATTTTCAGCCTGTGTCTGTGCCATGTCTGTCACTGTCCCATTGGCCAAAGCGCATTGCTTAGCCAAGCCTAAGGCTGAGAGGCAAGGAAGTCTGCTCTGTCAGTGAGGCCTCTAGCCAGCATATGAATGACAGGGGAGTGAAGAATTGGGAACAGTAATTCAATCTAACACATTTAACTTCAGAACTTAATGTAAAATTCAAGGAGTGCTTAATTCCCCCTGTTCAGAATTCATGGTATTTAAGGAAAGAGGAAACTGTCTTCTGAGAGACAGCAGCACAAATTGTCTACCTTGACTGTGACAAATGTGGGAAGACAGAACCTTAGAGCCCTGTATCGCACTTTAAGAAAAGTGGTCAACAGATGGCCTCTTATTAGCAAAGAGAGGTGACATCTTTTTTGTATATATATTTTACTGATTTCAGAGAGGGAGAGAGAGGTAGAAACATCAATGATGAGAGAGAATCATTGATCAGCTGCCTCCTGCACGTCCCCTACTGTGAAAAGGGGATCGAGCCCACAACCCGGGCATGTGCCCTTGTTTGGAATTGAACCCAGGACCCTTCAGTCCGCAGGCTGTGCCACATCGGCTAGGGTGAGGGTGAAATCTTTGAAGGTGGAAAGGCAGCTCTAGGCTGGAGCGAAGGCAGTGCTGGCAGCCAGGGGAAGGAAGGCCCATTCTTGCAAGAATCTTTGTGCATTGGGCCTCTAGTTTATATTATAAAAGGCCAGTGGCCAGAACGCTGGAACAATCAAACGACCGGTCACCAGGAGGTGCATTGATGGGTCCCGTGGCGGCAGTAGGAGGGACTCTGAATCTTGTGTGATTTTGTGCACTGGGCCTCTAGTAAGTATATAAGTTCTTTGGTTTATCTCTTCTCGTCCCCCCAACCCCAGGTTAGATGTTCTTGATGTGTTCTGGAAGGACTCATTGAATGGGTGATTCGGCGATCTTCCATTTGTGTATTAAAATTGGTTCAAGTTTGATGTTTATGTTACATAAGCTCTTGGAGAGTAGGGACCATTCCCTATTGAGCTTTGCATCCTCGAAACTTACCAGGCACAGAGTTATTACTCAATAATGAGAGAATGAAAATAGAAATGATCAAAGTCATACTGTAACATAAATCATCAAAAAGATAACATCTGGCAGTTTGGCTATGGAAGAGCTATTGAAAGACAGCAACTGAAGTTTGAATCTGTGGAGAGACATTGCATTTCTTGGATGAAAATATCAGAACAATGTCTTTCTTCCTAATGATAAATAATTCTAAACAGAATCCCAAGGGAGTTTTTAGAATTAGACCAAGTGATTTTGAAGTTCATTTGTAACAATACATTTCTAAGAATAGCCAAGAAAAACATTTAAAATAACCGTAGTGAAGGGAGATTTGCCCTCTTGTAATCCAATAGGAAGTATGATGCAGACACAGGAAGAGACAGATAAGAGGAGTGTCACAGAGGCTTGAAACACACAGTTAATATGTGGTGTAAGGTGTGTTGACCCAGCTCAAAAGAGTCAGGAGGCTTTGGCTAGCAATAAATGAGATTTATTCAAGGACTCGGGTCATTCAGCATAACGGTAAGCATAGTGACTACTTTATGTTTTAACTCAGCACAGAAAGAAATGAACAAAAAATGATGGCCAGCTTCTCTTTCATGGAATCAATGCATTTGACTAGGCAGGCCTTCAAAATTTAGAAGACTAATGTCAACATCTTCAAGACTCAAAAGGCTCCAATAATGCTACTAGAGAAAAGCAGTGGAGAAGTTGGGAAAATGTTAACATCACTGTGGGTTTTTGTTATGCATCAAAGAGCTCATTTCAAAATATCACTCCTTTAAAACATCACTGCACATGAAGGGCTAATAAACCAAAGCTATCAGAAGTTAGACCTACTACTTCTAGAAGTTAGAAGGGTACTTGGCAAAGTTTATCAGAGGAGACCTAGAACTGTATCCTTTTTCTTATCTGCTTACCGCACCCCCCCCCCCCCCCACACACTGCTTTGCTCCTGGCCTTAAATTTGCAATTTCTTTATAAATGGCACCTCCTGGTAGACTCTTTAAAAACAAAAATCCCCAGTTCTTCCAGTACCCTCCCACACGTTTGCTTCTCTAGGCTTCAACTTTATTAGGTGTTGCCAAACTGCTTCCCAAAGTGGTGTACCAGTTTATACACTTATGATCAGAGCATGAGAACTGAGGTTGCTCCATTGCCAATATTCTTATAACAAATTGGCATTGTTAGACTTTAAAATTTTTGTCTCTCTGGAGGTGTGAAATGGTAATTTTTCGTGGTTTAAATTTCCATGCACTTGATTACTAATGAGGCTGGGCATATTATTATAAGTTATTTGGCCAGCCAGTGTTCCTATTTTGCAAAATACCTGTCTTCTGTCCATTGGCTATTGAACTTTTATTTTCTAATTGATCTATGATGTTTAGATCACCAGTATAATAACCCTGTGTTGCTTATTAGTTACAAGTATCTACTCCCAGTCTGCCTTTCTGAAATCTTTCTCAGAAGCATTTTGTTTTAATTATATTTTATAACCATCAGGAGACTAGCTTTGGCTGTATTTGTCTTTTCATTTATTAATGGTGTCTTTGGATGCACATGAGGTTTTTATTTTAATATAGTCAAATTTGTCAGTCTGTTTCCTATATGTTTGTATTTATTGTCTCATTTTAGAGACCTTTGCTTAGCCTAATTTTCTCTTAAATTAATATTTTTCAGTATTTTAAACTTTTCATAATTAGGTCTTTCATTTATCTGCCATTCCCCACTCCCCCAGCCCCAACCTCTTTTTGGTAGGATGTAGGGAAGGGTGTTTTTGTTTTGTTTTGTTTTGGTTATGCTATGAGTTGTGAGGGAATTTTTTTCCATTGTGATCAGCACTTGTCCCAGTACCCTTGATTATATTGTCCATTCATTCCCCAGTGATTTGAAATGCATTTGTTGTCCTACATTAAGTTATTCATTTATTCATGTGCCTGTTTCTGGGTCCAACAGCTTTTTTGCACTTGGAGAAGGTGATAGTTGGTGGGGCTGTGCCAAAAATGTACTTTAAAAGAGATATGCAAATGGCTGCAGAATGCCAATGGATTATATTGTATCTTGTAATATTATAAAAAGGAAGAAGATGTTGATCACAGTCTAGATGAAATTTTTTTATGATGGCCCACTATCTAATTTATTTTTAAACATTAAATTTAAGCAGTTGAATTAACAGCTGAGTTATGTGGGAGCAGTTATCAAAGGCTAAATAGCTGCATTATAACAAATTGCTGAAGGTGCTGTGAATCAAATATTTTATCAAATTTGGTAGTTATACCTAAGAATGATAAGTTTGTGGACTTTAGCGTGTGCAGTCTACCCCCCCCCCCAAAAAAAAGCTGTTTCTTGGGAACTTTTTAAATGCTAGTAAATGTGTTAAGCCAGGACCCATGTACATTACTTGCTTTTAAAAAATTTTTAATTGAGATAACAATGGTTAATAACATTATATAATTTTCAATTATTCAACATTGAAATTTGATATCCATAAACACTATAGCGTGCTCACCACCAAAAATCTAGTTTGCATCTATCTCCATTCGTTTGACATCCTTTACCCATTTTACCTTCTGTCCCCATACCGCTTTCCCTCTGGTAACTACCAAGCTATTGTATGTATCTATGAGTTCTTGTTTTTGTTTGTTCATTCTTTTTTTGTTTTTCGTTCCATATATGGGTGAAATTATTCAGTTTTTGTCCTTTTCTGTCCATCCATGTTGCCACAAATGGCAATATTTCACCTTTTTATGACTGAGTAGTATTTCATTGTATATATGTACCAGGTCTTCCTTATCCATTCGTCTGTTGAGGGACACTTAAGTTGTTCCTCTGTCTTGACTATTGTAAATAATGCTGCATTGAACACAGGGATACCTATATCTTTTTGAATTAGTGTTTTCATATTCTTTGGATAAATACTAAGAAGAGGGATTGCTGGATCATATGGTAGTTCTATTATTAATTTTTTAAAGAACTTCCACACTGTTTTCCATAGTGGCTGCACAAATTTACAGTTCTACTAACAGTATTAAAGGGTTCCCTTTTCTCCAAATTCTCTCCAATACTTATTTCTTGTCTTTTTAATAATAGCCATTCTAACAAGTGTGAGGTGATATCTCACTGTGGTTTTGTTTTGCATTTCCCTAATAATTAGTGATGTTCAATATCTTTTCATGTGCCTGTTGGCCATCTGTATATCTTTCTTGGAAAAGTCTTTATTCAGATCCTCTGCCCATTTTTTTAACTAAGTTTTTGTTGTTGAATCAAATATTAAGAGTTCTTTAAATATTTTGGATATTAACCCCTTATTAAACATATGATTTGCATATTTCCTATGTGTCAGGTCCTGGCAAGGGGACCGAGTGAAGCAAGATGACTGAAGGCCCTCAAGAAGATCCCCCCATCTATTTGGGGAGACTTACTCATGGATATAAAATAGTGGGCTGGTTTCTCATGATCCTGCATGGTGTGCCCCATAGATACTTAAAACAATGCAAGTAACAATCTAAAATGGCCAAAAAAGGACAGGAAAAGGAGGGAGGGAGTGTTTTTAAAGCACTTGGACAGAAACTCTGATGGTTAGGTGGAAGATGCAGTGAAGCTGTATATTTTCCAGGTTTCGTCTTTTTCTTTTTTTATTCATCGTTTCAGATAGAAATGTTTAAGGGAAACAGCAGGGAAGGGCTGCTAGGAACATAGCAATTTGGTTTACCAGGATCATTATATTTAGTACTTTAATGTCTAGCTTTTGAGGTGGGGGTGAGGGGTGTTGAATTTAAGAAAAAGTAAACAGTTGTTCTTAATTATACCATACGATGGGACTTGGTGTACTAGCTTCAAACAAAAATAATCCAGCCTTTTCCACCATTGCAGGACTGTCAGTGATTAAACAGAATTGATCATCTGGGTGGATATGATTGGGAATTATTACAGTTAAATAATGCTTAGCCTTTGAGAGGAGCAGTAAACTCCAAGTAGAATATCGGTGAGTCAGCCTATTGTGTAATGTAGTATTTATTACCTACTGTTCTGTTTATATAATGTATTACATTTTTGGAATTCATATACCACCTGATGAATTTTATGTAATACTAACACAATAAAATATTCCTGGAATTCGACATGTTGAAAAATATTGTTTCCTTAAACAAATGAACTTGTATAAATTGCTTTAAGAACACCTGACTGAGGTCTTTTCCTTTTGCTTTAGCTGTCACAGTCCTAAGTTGCAGTAGGTAGCTCATCCCCAACCTCTGAGATCTGTATTTCTCTGCTTAAAAAAAAATTCTTGTAGTTTAAATCTATTTGGGTAGGTTTGATGCAAAAGGATTTAAATTGTAATCTGTGTGATGCGGACTCCAGTTTTGCCCGTAGCCCTGGGCAAAAGGGGCCTTGCCCTGGGACCTGGTTTCAGAGGGTTTCACCCCGGCTCTCCTCTGGCTCTGCTCCTCACCATGGGGTGACGGGTCTGCAGTGCCACGGGGATGTGCCTACTTCCCCTTCTAGAATAGTTTGTGTATTCCCAAGACTTGAAATTTTGTGTCCAAATTTCTCAGAGCCCACTTCCAGGGCCCATGGGCGTATCTTTCTCAGTTATCCCATCATCCTGATGGAAGACTTTGCTCAAGCTCCAGGGGCTGGGAAATGGTGAAGGTGCTGCTGGGGGTGGGGGTGTGAGCAGAGCAAGGGGAGTGGGCTGAGTCCTTTGCTTCCGTGTTTTTGCATGGAACTTCACAGAGTCTGAGAATTTGGAATTGGAGCCTGGCCTTCCAGGTGGATATGAGATATATTTCCAAGTTAGGAGAGACTGTATTTTATTTAACATTTGTAGCCTGATGTGCAGCTTGAAATACTATGTGGAGCCTGGCCGGTGTGGCTCAGTGGTTGAGTGTTGACCTATGAAGCAAGAGATCACAGTTTGATTCCCGGTTAAGGCACATGCTTGGGTTGTGGGCTCGATCCCCAGTGTGGGGTGTGCAGGAGGCAGTGATCAATGACTCTCTCTTATCATTGATGTTTCTATCTCTCTTTCCCTCTCCCTTCCTCTCTGAAATCAATAACAATATATTTAAAACAAATAAATGCTATGTGGATGGACCTCCATTTGTACTCTGGTAGGAGTGGGTTTAAGGAACTATATTATATTTTTAAAAATATGGACAGGGAGTACTCATTAAGCTATGTTTGGAGGAATAATGGCAAATATTATAGTGTGACAAACAAGCTCTTTTGGAGTAAAAATCTTTCAAATGCATTAGGAAACTGAAAGTAATCAGCTGAGATTTGAAAATATTACAGTAAATAAGAAACATTGCCTATTCCTTAAGTAGATTTCAATGTATGAAGGAAGTTGGCCACCTGGCTGCTTGCTTGGTATTCAGAGCTGAGGCTACTGGAGCACCCTGAGCAATCTGCCCAGTTGATAAGGTGGCTTACAGATACAGAGATGGGTGACAGTGTCTGGTGGACCCTCGCTTTCAGCCAGTTCTTCTTTTTCTCTCTTATTTGGGGATGGCTGAGAAGAAGGAAGAAGCAAAAAAAAAATCTTAGTTTCCTTCCTCCATTTGTAGAAGATGCCCTACTTAATGTTCATCCATCCTTTTATTTTTATTTTTCACCGAGTATTGTCTTGGCAGAAAGTTCTAGAGAATAAGGGATGTATCTTCATTTGATAAAACCAGGCTCAGTGTACCCAGAGACCACTTGACATTAAGGAATCCACTGGTGAGTTATTATGGCCAGGGAGGTGCAAACAAGACTCCTCAGCCACTATCTTGAAAGAAATTTCCCTCTTGTCCTTGATTATGTCTAGGACCGTCAGAGAAAGGGACCTTTATCAGTCCTCTATCTCTATTCCTTTCTCTTAAGCCAAATAATATTCTGAACCTAGCCTTTTCAGGCCCACTTCTGTCATCTCACTGAATTCTAGTCACATCTATCTTACAATGTTAAGTGTCTTCTCTGTCACATCCCACGGGTATAAAGATGTCTCAGTCATGATTCCAACCCTCAAGTGGCTCAAAGACAGGTGGAAACAGACAGGTATATGTTCATATCTAACTGTTCTTACTACCCTTGGAAAGCTCAATGTAGGCTTTTGCCCATAATTTCCCCTCACTCCTGCCATCTGATTGACTCCCTGAATGGCATGCTCCCTCCTCTTAAAACTGAGAGTAATAAACTCTTCTTTCAAAGGCCGTCTGTATGTCTGTCCTCTTATCATACCTGATTAAATGTACCTGAGTACATTTCAAAACAGAAGTCAGATAGATTTGAGTTCCAACTGAGCTCTATAATTTGCCCATCATGTAACCCTGGGGATATTTCTTTCTTTTAAAAAAATAGATTCTTATTGATTTCAGAGAGGAAGGGAGAGGGAGAGAGAGAGATAGAAACATCAATGATGAGAGAGAATCATTGATTGGCTGCCTCTTGCACACCCCACAGTGGGGATCGAACCCACAACCCAGGCACGTGCCCCTGACTGGAATCGAACTCAGGACCCTTCAGTCCGCAGGCCGACGCTCTATCCACTGAGCCAAACCAGCTAGGGCTTGGGGATATTTCTTATCCTCTGCCAGCTTCAGTGTCCTTATCTGTAAAACATGGCCAACGATTCCTGTATCATAGGACTACTTGCTATAAGGACTGATAATACACATAAAGTGAGAACATGCTGAAGAAATAGTATGTAAGAAATAGTAGTAAGAAATGTGTGGCCAAGGAGATGAGAATATCAAGGAATAAAGTCCCCCTTTAGGCTCAGAAATAAACAAGTACAACACATGGAACAATAGCCTTTCAAATTTATATGTTCTTCCTAATGTTCGAATCAGGAGATATTTTGTGTATTGCTATTTTTGTTCCCCACCTGAAAACCTTTTCCCTTTATATTAAACTAGAGGCCTAGTGCATGAAATTCATGCACTTGGGGGGGGGGCGGGTCCCTCAGCCTGACCTGTGCACTCTTGAAGTCCAGGAGCTCTCGGGGTTGTCTGACTGATGTGAAGGTGGGAGAAGCTCCCGTCACCGCTGCTGCGCTCGCCAGCCATGAGCCCGTCTTCTGGCTGAGCTGCGCTCCCCCTGTGGGAGTGCACTGATCGCCAGGGGGCAGCTCCTGCATTGAGCGACTGCCCCCTGGTGGTCAATGACCGACCGGTCATTCCACCGTTCGGTCGATTTACATATTAGCCTTTTATTATATAGGATGATGGCTGCTGTTCCTGTTAAGGAAATGAAACCTGATAATTAGTCTTTTCAACAAGAAAATTAGAGGAAGCATAGTTTATCGCTTTTCCTTGGCTCCAGTGTAAGTTTGACATGCTACACCTACCTTCACTAATTACCCAAGGTAGATAAGCAAATTTGTCAAGCAATATGGCAGAGAGAAAAGAGGCTGGAATTGGAAACCCCTCAGGCCTTAAGACAAATACCTGCTATGTGACCTTGGGTAAATCACTTAATAGCTCCCAACTTTAGTTTCCTCATCTGGAAAGGGAGATAGAACACTTAGCTAAGAAAGATGTTTAAAAAGATCAGATATAATGTGAGTAATGAGTCTCATTAGTGAAAGGCCTGGGACTTCAAGCCTCCCTAGTCTGAGGGACCTGCCAACAAATAACAGAATCCCGCCATAGCCCCCAGCTCTGAGTTTTCAGCATTTAGCTCTCCTCTCCCTCTCTTCTCTGTCCTCCCTCCCTCCTTCCAGGAGGTGGATGAATACATTTTTCAGGATTTGAATCATTTCCTTCCTTCTCACTGAAATTGTGGCCCACATGGGATTTTACTGCCTGAAACAGAAGACCCGCACATCCAAGTAATGACCAGATGCATTCTTGTCTAGCATAAAGGCTCAGCTTCGGTTGTCATCTCAGCCACTGAAGTTGCACTGAGGTTGCAGGATTCAGTTATCTCTGAATAAATCATCTTACTGTGAATCTTACAGGAAGAGCAGCAAATGGCCAGGAAACTCCCAGCTCCGGGTGGGGCTTGACCTATATGCAAGCTGCCCATTCTTTTTACACTTTTTATTAATTGATTTCAGAGAGGAAGGGAGAGAGAGAGACAGAAACATCAATGATGAGAGAGATTCATAGATTGGCTGCCTCCTGCAAGCCCCCTACTGGGAATTGAGCCTGCAACCCGGGCATGTGCCCCTGACCAGAATCAAACCCGGGACCCTTCAGTCAGCAGGTGGAGGCTTTATCCACTGAGCAATCCTGCTAGGGCCAAGCTGCCCATTCTTGCAGGTCCTCCTTCTGGAAGTCTTCCCAACAAATCAACTGCCCAGGGATTTCTATTTCTCTGGATACATACTGGATTTTTCTCTTCTGTAACTAAGTTGCTAAGGGTTTTGCATATTCTGAAGGCTGAGCCCAGTTTACCAGTCCAGAATCTCTGGCATGACTTCTTCATCTTCCCTTACAGGGCCAGGAAACAAAAATATTAAGAAGCTTGTGTTGATTCATTAATTGATTCCAGTTAAGGCTCAAGATAATCCTGGAGGTTCTTAATTGAAATAGTTGGGTGGGTGCAGGCCAAATTATTAACAGACTTACATGCACAGTGACTTGTTAACTCATTTTCACAGTTCTTGGAGAAATCATACAATTTTTTGACAATCCTCTCCCCTTTTTATCCCAGGATAATGACTTTTTTTTTCACCCCCAAACACACAAGTAATATGCAGTAGTTTTGTTGCAGGCGGCAAGAACAGCACCAGGCGTTAGGCCGGTGGGGTCAGACCAAACCTGGGTTGAGCAACCTGGGTACTTGGGTTCTGGCTAGGAAAGAATTCAAAGCAAAACCCAAACTGTAAGAGAACATTTATTGGGTAAATTACAGAAGTAGAAAAAGTAATTCCTAGAAGAAATTGGCTTAAAAAACGAGTTATAGAGGGAAAGGAAGGACCCTTGGAGCTTGGGAGTGAAGAAGGTAGCGGTAATGGGCCTGGGGCAGGGAAGGGGTATGGGAAGGAAAGGTAAAGGCACTGGCCAGCTCCCGGGAGAGCAGAGTGCTGGGTCCTTGTCCTAAGGGTGTTAAGGGTGGAGATTTTAGGGAAAGTCCGAGGGGAAGATCTTAATAGAATATTCAGCTATTTTCCAGGTGTATCCCTTCAGGA